CAATAGCCCAAGTGTTGTTGTTGGTGGGCGTGTGTCCTCTCGATTCGCGTGAAGCGGGCACACAGAGCAAAGGTTTGGGCTGAGCTTGCACGCTACGGCACGGCGTCCGTGTGCCCAGACACGCGTGCCTGAATTTAGATTGTGCTGGAATCGACACTGGCATAACACTTTAAGCATTAAACCGATACTTTGCTTTGTTCCTGAGCAGGAAACAAGGCGCAGTCGATCTATAACGTTTACCACCCCACCGACCGCGGTCGTTAGGCAGAGTTGTGTATAATCGCAGCAGCAGCAGCATCGCAGCCCTGTGCATGGGTTAAATTGGGACAGCACTTTGTTAAAAACGCAATGCAGTTAGCATGAAAATAATAGATAGATATCTCACCACAAAATCACAATTGGCGGCATATGATGCGTTAACTGTGCAACATAATGAGGCGCGGAAGGAGTAAGCGGACCATAAACCCAGAAATACAAATAATGTATAAAATATGATTTAAGCAGACTGTTGTCGGATGGTTAGCTTTCTTATTCAGCAATATAAATGTATAAAGCCATGAATATTTGGGTTATCGTCGGCAAAGGGAGGGACAGTACAGGTCTAAGTGGAATAGACGGAGTTAACTCCCCTCCGCGTGGAGGTCGATGGCACACCAACATTGGGACCAGCGGCAAAGTTTCTTGGGGTATATGGGTGGTTTAGTCGAGACGTTGGGAATTCAGCCAAGATATGAAAACTGCATCAGGCCGAATGTCTGTCAGGGTTCTTGCCAGAACTGCAGAATAATGCATGTGTTGGTGTCTGCGTGCTACGGAGCCCAACGTACATGCTGTGATACTCTTTGGGTTTTTTTCGGTAAGGTCACGTAGGTAAAAAATAAAATAAAATAAATGAAAACAACTAAATTAAATCATGACGTTTCGGGCGCAACACAAGCGTCCTTCTTAAGGTGGGGACAACGTAGCGAAAGCACAAACGCTTAAGTGTGTGACACACTTAACGGCACTTAAAGACACACTTAAGCGTTTGTGCTTTCCCTACGTTGTCCCCACCTGAAGAAGGACGCTTGTGTTGCGCCCGAAACGTCGTGATTAAATTTAGTTTTCATTCATTACATTTTTTTACCTACGTGATTTTACTGAAAAAAAACAGTATGAATCCTTGCAGCCACAAAAGCTTCGAATCTAGAATACATGCTCTGAATTTGTGGTGCACATTACACACGCACACACACACGTGCGAGCACAGGCACACGCAACGATAAAGACCTTTCACAGACTTTTGGCCCAAGTGCTCTTTAGCCAGCGCCTCTGAAAGCCAGCATGGTGCGCACAAGTGGGCTGGTGTGGTCAGAATGGTGCACGAGATGGGGTGGGGAACAGCGCCGCACCTATCCACGTTTGTGTCCCCGTTGCTGATGTTTACACACCACACCAGGTACCTGTTTAAACCTATGGAAGGGGCCAGATCCGGTTCAAATATCCCTCCCCCACCGGTGGCTGGGAATCCATCTCAGGTCGCCGCGTAGTGCGCAAACTGCAGCCAGCCAGCCACCCACCCACGCCCCGCACACACAAAGACTTTAACAGACTTGGAGCAAGTGTGCTGTTGTTCGTGAGCACCTACGAAGGCCGAAATGACACACGCAGAGGCGTGGGTGGGCAACACCACGCCCAACCGGCTTTTGTTTATACACCGCGCCCACACACGTGCACACACACACTAAACACAATTATCCCCCCGTATAGCCCTTGACAGGCTGTTGGAGCAAGTGCTGTTTGCGAGCACCTATAAAGGCCGGGCATCAAGTTCATTTAAGTTCATTTCAAGTTCATTTATTAGGTATAGCCCTGTGAGCCATTCGGCTCTTGAATCGGGTGCATGGCCAGCACCACACCCGGCGAGGCCGCCTTTGTCTCCCTAGTGGCGATGTTTACACACCGCACCAGGTGCACATTCGAGGCCGAGTCGACCTAGGGCAGAACCAGGACCCATTCAAATAAATCATCACTGTTTTCTTGGCCGTGATCGGGAATCGAACTCGTGTCGCCAGGTTTCGAAGCGCAGCACGCTCGCTAACCACTAGCCCGTCGCTCCCCACATGCGCACACGCAGCCCACACACACGTGCCATTCGAGTTCATGAGAACGGGGGTGGGGGGGGGGACACATCGTCCGCCTCGTCACAGCGTTTCCCCATCGCGATGACGACGGTCACGGTAGCGAGTTGGCGTCAGAGCCGCGCCGCCCCCGCGTCTCGCGCTGTCACACACGCGGTGGTGGAGGCACGCACACGTGTTGGCGTTCGTGTGTTCCCCAGCACCCCGTCCCACCCGTGTGTTCTCCCCCCCCATCCCCCCGTGTGTTCCACCCCAGCCCCCCCGTCCCCCCCCCCCCCCCGTGTGTGCGGTGGTGTTTTGCTCGGCGTTAACAAATGTACAGGAAACGGCTGTTGAATCATCTTCCCGTCGTCGTTATTATTAAGCGCCGCCCGTGATCGTCTTCACGTGCGGTCTGCAGCGAGCTGGCACGCGCTCGCCCCCCCCCCCCCCCATTGCACGAATGCCGTTCATCCTTCTTGGCAAAAGTGCGCTTTCAAATCTAGAAAAAAAAAGTGCGCTTGTAAACGAAACAAAAAAATGATGCAACATCGTGCTGTCGGTGCAGTCATTTCGCGATGGTTTGACGTGTGACAGGACACGCCTGCCCTGCCCATCATCCCTCGGTATACTCGCAGTGCCCCCCACCCCCCTCTGAAAAGTAACAGGACACCGTTTGCACTGCGGTGAGAGCAGCATATTTACACTCGATGTGACTTCACGTGCGATGGCTGTGTAAGGCCCTTGATGAATGTTATTTTCATTGCTCAATCCCATTGATAAAGAGAGGTACACTTCCAGAGTTGTTATCTGGGTTGTAAGTAAGCGGCTGCTTTGCCTGCCTTGAATGATTTACCGTATAATCACCCATCTCATTGTTACAATGGACATGTTGATGGCGCAACACTCGTTATTAACGTTAAATGCTAAAATAATCTTAAGTTAAATTCCCGGCTACTGCTGTCACCAGTGTGAGTGATATCTGAACAGGTCACCTCGTTAACCAATCTGCACTGTCAAGTCAATTATTTTTTTGGTTAAACACACGTGTGGTGCCTTTCTGGCACAGGTCTGCCACTCAAAGCACCATCGCATTCGTACTTGTAAACGTAAGATGTTTCAAATGCCATACAATGAGAAAAATATACTATCTCTAGTTGTGGCAAGTGTGGTTGGAGTATGGTCAAACAACCCACATCGAATACATGACCTTTACCCATCAGTGGATTGACAAAGAGGCTATTAAAAAAAACATTTATATTCATACTATGTTTTCTATGCTGGACTGCCACTTTTCACTTTTTAGTATTCCTTTACAAATCATTTCCTCCACCCCCATACCTCGTTTACTGCCTGGGCGCAAATTAGTTTACGCTCACCGCGAGCATCGCCGCTTAAAATAAGGCCAATTACAGCGATCGTGCCGGCACGGCGATGCACTCCGTCGCGGGCCCGTAGCGCTCGCATTACCCGTTCTGAAAATTATTGGCGGCACGCGGCTACTGAAAATCCCACCGGCGTCTCCCGGACGAAGCCCCCCGGCGCGGCCCACGTCTGGCGCACGCGTTGTGATTTTCTGTGGTTGATTAATACCGAGGCCAAGCAGGCGTGTCCTGGTTGCCATTCCAGCCCTAACCGAAGCTCCCGCTCACTTAATCCCCACGCCCCCCCCCCCCCCGCTGCACTTGCCCCAACCCCCACCAACCCCAGCCTACCTCGCGGCCCCCCTCCATACTGCGGCACGCTGGCGAGCGCTCTGCCTACCGCGTGCCCGCCCAATGCAGAGTTGAGCCGTGCGATAATCGTTCCGATAGGGCTGATGAGGATGAGGAGTCATCCTTTGTGCGTTGGCTCTACGGGGACTCGGCCCGGTCGGCGCTCGACTGCTTTGTGATGCCTCCTGTACCACGGCACGAGATGGTGAAGTGAAAAGAGGGCGTTGCTTCTCGAGTGAATTAAGCTCGTTTTTTTTATCCTCTTTAATAAGGCTGTAATGCAGTTCCCCTGGAAACACGTTCATTATTAATACATACGTTGCCAAGGAACTTAACACGTACAATTTGTGTTTCTGGGGTAATAGCAATACACTTCATTTGATATACTGGACACAACTTATTAACTTGGCCCTAGTAAAGACCCACCGGCTAATGAATGATCTTATTTCAATATGCAATACCGCTCTATGACATCACAAAGTTATACCTTAACAGCACTTATGGTTCTTGATTTAATTGTCAGCGGTGTGTTTTGGCTTGGGCGCTTCGTAACGATTCGTCTCACCCTCGTGATACGACGAATTGTCCCAATTCAGGTTTGCGATTAGATTCCAGAATCAATGTTAGTGGCTGTCGTGGCTGCAGGGGTCACGTGAACCCATTGAATAAAAGAAAAGCCCTTAGAAAAACATCGTTTCTCGTGTGCACAATTCGTTGCACGTCTAGAAACAATGCATCGATTTATAGATTAAAATCGATGTCTACCTTAGAGATAAACATGCATTGAAGTGTGTAAAAAAAATTGTTTTAAGCAAATGATCCGAAAAAATAAATACCATTGTTGCAGGGAGTGGTAGTGACTGATTATTTAACTGCTCTCTGAATCAGGTGACCTGAGTTTGATTCCCGGCCACGGCTAACAATCAGTGGCGAGTGATATCCAAACTGGTCCTGGTACCCTACTTCATGGTCAACGTGGTGAAGTATGGTCGAATAATCCTCATTGCCGAAAGGCATGATGGAGTAGTCACCTCTGTAGGTTATCCCCTCCGCCGGTATTGCGAGATTTCCTTCGTCCCCGTGATGCATCCTGATATTTGGACCTCCGAAGTAGCTTGCGGCATCACCGAGCGTGACGCCGTGGTGCTGTACCCCCCCCCCCCCCCACCCCCGTGTCTCCCTGCAGCCTGCTGTTCACCAAGGTGAAGCTGGAGACCCTGTGCAAGGGACCGGACGAGGCGCTGCTGACCTGCAAGCACATGCTGCAGATATGGAAGGCTTGCTACAGCCTCACCAACCCCAGGTGCGCCCTAATCACCCACCCCCCCCCCCGACTGCCAGTGCAATAGAAGTACAATGCACTTCCACCATCGTCATCATCAGGGGCTCCAGTGCGTGACACGATGTGTTGCCGAACGCGTGCACTGGCTTGCGATTCACAACGCCTGTTCTGTGCACGGTGGTCACCCATGCGGGCACTATCCAGACTTAGCTTCCAAGAACCGTTAAGGTCGGGTGCATTCCAAGTGATTTGGTCAGAGGCGGAACATACATTGTCCATCATAGCAGCAAAACCTCCACATCAATAATATTAATTGTTAGTAAAACTGCCAATACGAGGAGGGGCGGGGGGGGGCGGGGACAACCCTGCATTTCATGGGAAGGCCTTTGCGACTGCTAACAAAGCACACTGATCGCTCAAAAACACGAGGCTTAATGTTGAGCTATATATATCGGCAGCCTTTATGATGAATTTGACATTAATCATCAGTGTTCCGTGAGGGGTGCCACTGCAATAATTCGTGTGGAAGACTCTGGGTCAGTTGTGTTGCATCCAAAGTGCCGGCTAAGAGGTTTTGCCAAGGTCACACTCTGAAACGTGGCAAACACAGGCAGCAGGTTGTGCTCGGCCGGGTAGCCTCTCGGTTGAGCGCGCTGACGTCTTTCCGAGGCTGAGCCGACAGCTACTGTGGTCGCCCCGGTAAGTTCTGCAGCGAGATTGTGGAGTTTGCGATGTACGTATGTATGTTGAACTTCTTTCACACCGTACGTAGCCAACCGTGCAGATCAGAGGTGCGCGAGCGAATCGGAGGTGCGGGATAACCAATGCGACGTTCAGAGGAAGATGCAGATTTCTTGTATAGCCTTTATCAGGCTGTTGGGGCAAGCGCTGTTAGTGAGCACCTATGAAGACCGGCGCGATACACGGGGGGGTGGGGTTGCCAGCATCCTGCCCGGCTGTGTTTGTCTCCCAGTGCTGATGTTTACATACTGTAGTAGGTACTCACTTCAGGCTGAGTCAACCTCGGGGAGGCACAGGACCAGTTCATATAATCGTCACTGAGTGGGACTCAAACGTGGGCGGCCAGCTTCGTAGTGCAGTGCGCTAGAAATCTAAAACACAAAGATCTCCCGTATAGCCTTTAACAGACTGTTGGGGACAGTGCTGTTAGCACACTGTTCGTTCAGCAGCAGGTACGAATCACGTCCACCCAATTAAGACAGCACAATTATTTGCACCTATTAACAATAAATTCGTAAAAATAATTACTTGTTTTGTCAAGTCATTATTGAGCTGAAAATGTCAATCTCAGAGCTGGAACTGTTTCCCCAAATCAAGTAAAGAACCTAACGTTATAGTTTTAATATAAAATGTATTGAAATATCATAGAAGTAAAATTAAAGTTATTCATATGGAAAAATGTCGCAATTTCATGTTTCTTGCTCTGACAGCGATTCTGGGAGAGGAAGCAGCTTGCTGGACAGAGCGATGGCTGACAAGCGACACCTCCAGTATATGCATCTACCAGACTTCAGCGACCCAGAGACCGGTAAGACGAGGTGACCCGATGCACGTACACATTGGCAGAGATTCAGCTTCCTTGACTTCGTCCTTCTCAGGCCAAACAAGGCTTGCTCAGGGGAAGGGGGGAGAAAAAAACGTATTTAAAGGTTATTTTTATCTTACTTTTATTTGCTTATTTTATATCTGGCTATTTTGGGGTTGTTATGAGTTCTTGCGTTATGGAAAAGTGTTTCCCGTCTGTAGTAAAAATGTTGTTTTAATGCGATGATGTTGCTTTTTTGGGGTTTGACATTGGGTTTGAGGTAAGAAATGAAGCTGTGAATTCCTGAATTAAGTTCCAAGGCTGTGAGATTTATATTTAGTGAAAGTTTTGCTGTAATCTTCCATCATATTTTTAATAAGTCGTAATAAAAATGCTGTCCATATTTCATTTTGCAAATGTAATTAAACAAAAAGTTTTAACCCCCGTGACACGAATACTCGATGTCTGTAAATATTGAGTGTTTTATTTTAAAGCATCTCCATTAGGGAATGGCTTAAAAAAATAACTCAACACGTCCATCAATAATAATATATAATCGGTGAAGTTTGGAGCAACGGCCCTTGTGCATAGCACAGGAACTAGAAAAAAAAACAGAGTGATTATTATTGTATCGTGTCGAGTCTAGTGTAACATTAATTGCCACCATATTCTCTCCCATCGTTTACTTTCTGCTCAAGTCCATATTTATTTTTTCATTACTCAGGCATCGTCATCTGTTGTTATCGGTTCACCTTGGTTCAGGTTTTGTCTGCATACTTAGTCAGAGCCAGAGGACCTCGGTGGCATTGTGCTTTGTGGCCAGGGGGGAAAATGGATTGGGTAGGGTAGGCAGCAGCCCTGCCAACATTTGGGCCCGTTAATTCCTGGCGCTGTCCACCCATTTAGTGATGGGTGGCATCGCTATCGAGCGTGCATGCGGTGCCACCTGAACTGAAGCTCATGGATCGGGGGGACCGGTAGGGGGGGGGGGGAGCAGACCCAGGGCTTTGAAGAAGAGGGGTACATTGAACAAGAGTAGGAGGTCCATCTTCTTGGTTCTTTCGGTAAAGTCACGTAGAAGGGAAGTAATAAAATAATAAAAATAAAACATAATAAAATAATTCTCACGACGTTTCGGCCACAACGCAAGCAGCCGTCCTCAGGTGAAGAACATGTCTGTCAATAAGACATGTCTGTCGATAAGAAAGAACCAAGAAGATGAATCCCTGCAGTCACGAAAGCTTTAAATCGAAATTTAAGAGGAGGAGGTCTCCATTTTGTAAACTGCAAAAGGGCCCATGCCAACCACGCTGCGCCACTCGCTAGGGGCAGATGGGGCCTTCTTTCTTCGTCCCTGCGTGCCTTACACGGTGGAGCTTCGAGCGCCCCGAATGACCGGTGAACGATCCGAAAAGTCTACGGCACGCAAACCCCCTTTCGTGGTCTCGCCGTCCCCCGCCACCGCGCTCAATTCCAGGCCTCCATGACTGTGTTGCTCTGCACGCTAATGGGTTTCCATATTTCATAAACGGCCGATTGTAATCGCAGAGATTCCACCGCGTAGAAGCGGTGTCGCTTATCGTCCCTTCATATCATCCTAACAGAGGGTCCTATTGTTGCAACAGTTGCAACTCGGTGGAAGGCAATGTCACGAGAGAACAAAGAGGACGTTTTGCTGCAGGATAACAAAAACAAACGATGAGCACGAAAACAACTGATGAGGTGGAATCAGGTGGCAGACTCGTGACGTTGGCTTGGTTTGGTTTTTTTAAAATTATATATTTCCTTTGTGACGCGACTTCTAACGACCTTTTTCATGTGTTGTTTTAAGGCACCCTGCCAGACGCTTACTCTCATGGTTTTCTCTCCCTGTTTTCGGTTTGTAAGTAGCTTTTGTTTACAGGCCATTCATTGCACCCCCACATCACTGTTTGTCTGTCCGTCCTGTTTTGAGTGAGCCCCGACAAGCCACGATCTTGTTTTTCTTTTGTTTTTAAATCACCTTTCCTATTTCCACCACCACCCCCTGCAACCTTCTTTTACTTTAGCTTCTTAAGCACGTTCTGTTTAATTCGTATGACTTACTGCAAAAGGCCAAACGGGAGTGAAAAAAAACACCCGAAGCTCGTTGCTTTTGTTTAAAGCTCCTGGAGTCCCACCCTTGTTTGTTTCTTTGCCCGTACGCTTTGTTACTCCTAAGCACACACCCACTAACCTTTGGCCTCCCCTCTTTGTCGAGCTCACTGCCTGGCAGCCTGCTGTCGTCACAAATGACTGCGGCACTCTCTCGCTGTCTAACGAGACAGGAAGCGTGGCCACTCCTCCGCTTCTCCCTCCCCCTTGGCTCAGTGTGCAGCATGGCTCCCTGGCTGCTCGGTGCCCCCCCTGTGTGTAGGGTATTGACTGTGGGAGGAGCTGGAGGTGGTCAGGTCGGGTGGGTGGGTGGGGGCGGTGGGCGGGCTGGGTGGGTGGTGGCTGTGGATGGTTGGAGTTTGCTTGTGCAATTGTGGGGACGTGCGTTTCCCGTGTGTGCTGGAGTTGATGAACTGCACCCCAACTGAGCATGGCTGGCGCTATGTGGCTGCTTTTATGATCCCTGCCCCATGGCTGCGTGTGGCACGGACCCCTGTACGGTTGCCATGCGGACACATGCGGCGTGCGTTATCACACTATTTCAAAGGTCGGTTGGAGAAACTGAGGTGAAATGTTCACGTTGCATCTTAAGGGGGACCTATTTTTTTCTTCGTTTATGTGATCGAACTGCCCGTTTCCATCGTAAAAAAAAATCAAAGCTGTTGGGGTTGAGGCTTCAAAGCTGTCGAATTATCAGATAAGCCGTTAATGATTTCTAAGTTGCACAGTTCGTGCTTTAAATTTATGACTAACTCAAGCATTGTTTCAGTGGCCTTCATATACGACCAGGTGAAAGTCCATTGTGAAATCACGGGACATTGAGAGCTGTTTGCGACTTGGGAAGGCCTTCATCCAGCAGTGCATTGACCATGGCAGATGATGATGACGATTATAGTCCGTTGAGGTGGAGCGAGGAAATAAGCACGTGTGCAGGTGCTTAGATGACAAGTTGCATTGAAGAATCAAGAGAGGAGGCGGTCGTTTGGGAAGCCCCCTCATCCAGCTGTGACTAGATCATGCCCCATGACGATGACAGTGAATTCAGTCTCAATTCCCCGTTACATTACCATCTGCAAAGTGAGCATGGCCTAATGAGGCTGCAACCAAGTTAGCCTGAATCCAGAAGCGAAGCGGGTTAGGGCCTGGTTGATACTTGGATGGGAGAGACTGCCTGGGGATACCATGAGATGGCAGGACAACAATGGATTCTTGAATCTATCTGAGAGGAGTTTTAAGAAGGTTCTCCTCGTAATGCGTGGGATTCCTCCGGGTACTCTGGTTTCCTCTCGCATACCACTCGTTAGTGGAATTGCTCAAACATTCCAATGCAGGACTGTTGTGAAAGAGAGTATTGAGACTTTTCAGGGCTTTCTGGCTGAACAACGGACCATTTGCATTATTATAAATATTATCATTATTATTTTGGTGGCCAATGGTGTTTTTTTTATGCATCAACTGCCCTCTGCCATACAAATGTGGAATTTCCACAATTTTAGGAATTACAACAAATATAGTGCCTCCCAGTGCTTATTTGGCATGGTAATGCTGAGTGTCTTATAAACTCTTTATAATAACGATTATTCTATAATGGCATCAAAATGCACGCATGAGCCAATCCAGAGGTACATCTTTTAGCAGGTCCCTTGTTTATGAATTCATATTTTTATCTTTTGTTCTTATTTTATTGCAATTATGCACTTGCTGTCATACTATGAGATGAAGTGTCCATTGTGAACTGTGCCAGTGCAGTACATATCCCCATGTTAGAGAATGACCTGCAGAATGTGATACTCATTAGGGGGCACTGCACTTTCATACACGCCCTGCTTAGGAGATGTTCATTGCATGGCATTTAAACCGAAATTGTATTCTTCAATTCTCAACGGCTGGAATTTGAACAAATTTTGTTCGAGCAGTCCTTGATAAAGAGGCTGAAACCATCAACTTGTTTTGCAACTTGGTGCTCATCACAAGTTTGCTCAGATTCAAACCCAGGATCTCTCAGCAGTATCAGCTCAGTCCTCCAACTCCTTAGCCACTCATCCACCATGGCCTCTCCTATGTAAGTGGCGCTGCGAGTTTTATTTCGATAATTAATGCATCTCCCGCGATTGCCTCCGGCGTAGCTTCCCTGGGCCGTGCCCTCTTCGCTCACCACCGATTAATTAAAGACGGGGTTTTACCGAGATGGGGAGAACTTAAGACCATCGCCTGGCAAAAGCAAGAATTCCTTGGGGAGAGAGAGATTACATTTATTACCCGATGGCATACGTGGGGAGAGGGCATGTGGCAGCCTTTAACAGCAATGTTTTAGCAAGAACCTGCCAACAACCTTGGCACGCCCCGTCGCTTGAATCACACCAGGCAGGCTGCCTCGGCCCATCTGGAAATATCTTCCTAAGATGTCGTTAACCCCCAGGAGGGAATCGGAATCCGTCAGGCCTCTGTGCTGCCTCCCGACGGATATTAAAAGCGTATTTTGTGGAAATGTCATTCAGAATGGGCAGTTAAGTGCACGCTACACTTGCATCGCCGGCAAAGAAAGCTATTCGACTCTGCGCTTCCTTAAAGGGGTCATTCTGGGGTTTACTGCCTCAAGTCGCTGTCGAAGAGCATGCTGTTTTTGGCAATCACAGGCCTGGGAATTGGGTTTTGCGCGTCCTGGGATTTGCGCGTGGCACTGTAAAGGGTTTGAGATGGAGTTACACCCTATCCTCCGGGTGGCAATAAAACAGACTTCAGCTTCTCCCCCCCATTGCCAGGACTCGTGGCCTGAGAGAGGAGAATGGGGTTGGGTCATGGTAATTAAGAACCATCAACAAGACTAAAGGCAAATTTCATTAAAACTGCAGTGCCGTGCTAATGTATAATGTAAATTGAAAAATAAGTTTTGCACCAGCAGCATGGAAAACTGCTTAGCAGGCGCGGCTCGTGAATGCACTGCGGTTTGTAATATCGGAGTTTGCGTTGTCTGCACGCTCTTATCAGCTCATAAGAGTTGCGTGGACAGAATGGCTGGCCACACTACGTATCATAGTGCGCGCCTTGCTTTGCGTTTTATGAGTTCACCCGAATCACAGGTATTGTTTACAACCACGTGCGCGTGTGGTGCTTTATGCGTACGCGCTGTTCCCAGCGAGCTAGGGTTCTATTAGAGGTTGCCTGCCTTCGGGGTGACGATTCCCCGCTTTCCAAAAACGCATCGAACGTTGATACAATAATAACAACAACAAAATGCATCCGGGATTCCCAAATCCCCAATCATAGCTGTCTGTCAAATTTTTCACCACGACGAAACTAGCGGTATTCATTGGGGTCAGGGATCGGCGGTTGCCCACTTTTAATGGGTGCAAGGGTTAAGAATGCTGAACGCGGATCAGGTTATCGGCGCTCCGCGCGGCCGCCTGCCTGTCGTCACTGCTCGTCGCTGTGCCGGGGCATCAACAGAACCGCCACTGATAGGCCGCCACCACCGCCACCACCGCCACAGACCCCAGCGAATGTACGCTGCAGGTTAAGTGTTATCGGCTGTCTCGCAGCTCACTGGATGAGCAGGAGGGGAAAAAAAAAGAAATGCTTTACAGTAACCCCCAGCGTGCTCTGAATTTTAATGTGGGTCTAACGGACTTCTTGCTGTGTCCGTTCGAAGAAAACGCACCACTGTTAAGAAAAAAACGTGCTGTGTTAAGCTGCAGTTGTTGCACGGCGGTAAATGCGTGAAGCGGGCAAAGGTCGCCCATGTAGAGGGCCATCGCCTGTTTAGCCCACTGCTCAACGCGGGGCAGACTTCGTTGGGAGAGCTGGGAGTGCTCGCACTCTCCCCAACCGACTTGTATCGGCCACTTTGCCGTGAGTTTTAAGGCTCCTAAGCCCTACTTAGCCCATAGGTATATCACGATGCATCGATTCAATCCGGTGAAATTGATTGATTGTGCAAAAAAATGCACGTGTGCGTGGGAGAATCGATCGTTAACCATTTATGCCAGTTATATGAAAATGAGATGTCATCATTACATTTAGGCTAATGGAGCAAACATTACTGTATAAACGAAATGCAAATGGGATTGGCTACAAAATGAATACCGTTTTTTAATTAAATCATGACCCTGACTCTTGACAACTAATGTACACGCTGGTGGGGGGCAGATCATTACACACATTTTACCTGGCCACCTCTAGAAACCGAGGTTTAAGTCCGAGGTAAACAGTTTTTCACATACAGGTAGCTTGATGGATCTCAGCCTCGTCAAAAGTGGCACCACAGGGAAAAAAAAACATCCTAACATTAGCCAAGTGTATTCTATTCACTTGTAGTCAACTCTGATCGTGGAAATGCATATGCAGAGATGTTAGCAAAATCACATTTTCCCAGGCCAAGACTGCATACAGAAGGCAATAATACTGGGGGCAGAAACTTACTGAATAGCCAATCAGGGCAGTGTGAGCATCTGATTGCCATTGTTCGCTGTGGTAGGGCTCTCTACTGGATGCGGGTGTGTTCTGAGTAATGGAATAAGTTTGGATTGATAGCATACAGAATTCAACAAATGATAAACAGTCAGAGCAAAAGAGGGAAAAAAATAATGATCATACACCACTTTAACAATTGAAATCGCAGCAAGCAAGCGTCGTCATGTCATTTTGGCTGCAAAGCACAACCTGCAAAAGCGACAAATTGACTTTCCTGTCTTGAATCCCAACGTTTTTATGTTCGTTTCATGCACGTGTACGGCTACATTCATTTAAAAAAAAAAAATCTTTATGCATTCTAGGCTCTATGAAATGGGGCTCACTTACGATGCAATGTGACACGCTGTCAAGATGCAAAGCTTCATGTTTGCCAGTCTGCGGAGTTACACTCTCCGCAGCATCTCTTGTAATGCCTGATGTTACTTTGTCATACTTATCTGTCATTAAATAATCTGGCAGAGCCCTGTGTTTTAATGCGGTAAATTACAAGATGTGCGCAGTTTCGACAGCATTGCCACATGTTGTTTGCGGACACAATTTCATTATCAGCCGATGCCTCTCAGTTTCATACCAATGCCCTAGTCATCAACGCATTTGTTGTAGTTGCCTGGGACTGTGGCCCCAAGACGTGTTTAGCCGTGGATTTTAGAGTTGCGTGCTCCTGGCTGGAACTCTGCACAGTGTTTGCAGCTCAGCGTGACACAGCTGAAATTATTCGCATGAATTGGCTGCCATGTTGGAGAGATTCCAAAAAACAAATAAAATCTTAAGTCTCGGGCTTTGTGACAGGCTTGTGTAAGCCTATTCTTAGGTGTTTTCGGTAAAGTCACGTAGGTGAAAAATTAAAATTAAAATTAATAAAAATAAAATAAAAATCACGACGTTTCGGAGGTATCAAGTACTTGATACAGCTATCGTGCTGTGATGGTTCCACCTGAAGACTGAAGCTTGTGTTGATACAGCTATCGTGCTGTGATGGTTCCACCTGAAGACTGAAGCTTGTGTTGCCTCCGAAACGTCGTGATTTTTATTTTATTTTACTTTTATTAATTTAAATTTTTTACCTACGTGACTTTACCGAAAAAACCTAAGAATATGAATCCTTGCAGTCACGAAAGCTTCAAATCCAGAATTGTGTAAGCCTGTCACAAATTTAGGAGGTAAAGGGCAGTTGCTCCATTTCCGGGCATTATTTTCCACAGCTTCTTTTGATTACCATTCCGCTGATGAACCCACCCACCCTACCAAATTTTTGAAATCCACGAAGCGCCAGAGCGAGGAATGCCTGGCAGCAATAGCCACCCCTCCCCTGCCCCCATTCACCCGGACATCTTGGGACATGGTTCAGCACCAGACTCAAACAGCACAGCTGTGTGCTTGACGGATGAACTTCCTGCACGTGTGTTGATTTCTCATCTCTTTCAACTGTTCCCACCCGACCACTGCCTTTTGTAACTGCTCACCCTCCTCCCCCACCCCTGCCCTCCCGACAACCATCTTTCCTTTTCTGACCCTCGCCCTCCCTTGACCGCTCTCGACCCACCCTTCTTGACCACCTGCGCTCCCATGCTCCCGCTCGCCCTGCTACTGCTGCTCTCTCTCGCTCTGCGATATCCAAACTCCCCCGCCGTCCCCCCCACCCACCCCGACTGCCTCCACCTGCCACAACTTCCCCCAAACTTCTTCCCCACCACACCCGTGCCAGGTTCGGTGCACGCGACGTCGGTGGCCGCATCGCGAGTGGAGCAGGCGCTGTCCGAGGTGGCGTCCTCCCTGCAGAGCAGCACGCCCAAGCAGGGGCCCATGCACCCATGGATGATCCTCACCCAGATTTGGCTGCATGCTGGTACCCGCTTGCAGCCCGGCCACGGGGCACTGTGGGAAGGGGCATTGTGGGAAGTGGGCATTGTGGGTAGTGGGCATTGTGGGTAGTGGGCATTGTGGGTAGTGGGCACTGTGGGTAGTGGGCACTGTGGGTAGTGGGCACTGTGGGTAGTGGGCACTGTGGGTAGTGGGCATTGTGGGTAGTGGGCATTGTGGGTAGTGGGCATTGTGGGTAGTGAGCATTGTGGGTAGTGGGCATTGTGGGTAGTGGGCATTGTGGGTAGTGGGCATTGTGGGTAGTGAGCATTGTGGGTAGTGGGCATTGTGGGTAGTGGGCATTGTGGGTAGTGGGCATTGTGGGTAGTGGGCATTGTGGGTAGTGGGCATTGTGGGTAGTGGGCATTGTGGGTAGTGGGCATTGTGGGTAGTGGGCATTGTGGGAAGTGGGCATTGTGGGTAGTGGGCATTGTGGGTAGTGGGCATTGTGGGTAGTGGGCATTGTGGGTAGTGGGCATTGTGGGTAGTGGGCATTGTGGGTAGTGGGCATTGTGGGTAGTGGGCATTGTGGGTAGTGGGCATTGTGGGTAGTGGGCATTGTGGGTAGTGGGCATTGTGGGTAGTGGGCATTGTGGGTAGTGGGCATTGTGGGTAGTGGGCACTGTGGGTAGTGGGCACTGTGGGTAGTGGGCATTGTGGGTAGTGGGCACTGTGGGAAGTGGGCATTGTGGGTAGTGGGCATTGTGGGTAGTGGGCATTGTGGGAAGTGGGCATTGTGGGTAGTGGGCACTGTGGGTAGTGGGCATTGTGGGTAGTGGGCATTGTGGGTAGTGGGCATTGTGGGTAGTGGGCATTGTGGGTAGTGGACATTGTGGGTAGTGGGCACTGTGGGTAGTGGGCATTGTGGGTAGTGGGCATTGTGGGTAGTGGGCATTGTGGGTAGTGGGCACTGTGGGTAGTGGACATTGTGGGTAGTGGGCATTGTGGGTAGTGGGCATTGTGGGTAGTGGGCATTGTGGGTAGTGGGCATGGTAGTGGGCATTGTGGTAGTGGGCGTTGTGGGTAGTGGGGCGTTGTGGTAGTGGGCGTTGTGGGTAGTGGGCGTTGTGGGTAGTGGGCGTTGTGGGTAGTGGGCGTTGTGGGTAGTGGGCGTTGTGGGTAGTGGGCGTTGTGGGTAGTGGGCGTTGTGGGAAGTGGGCATTGTGGGTAGTGGGCATTGTGGGAAGTGGGCATTGTGGGTAGTGGGCATTGTGGGTAGTGGGCATTGTGGGTAGTGGGCATTGTGGGTAGTGGGCATTGTGGGTAGTGGGCATTGTGGGTAGTGGGCATTGTGGGTAGTGGGCATTGTGGGTAGTGGGCATTGTGGGTAGTGGGCATTGTGGGTAGTGGGCATTGTGGGTAGTGGGCACTGTGGGTAGTGGGCATTGTGGGTAGTGGGCACTTGTGGGTAGTGGGCATTGTGGGTAGTGGGCATTGTGGGTTAGTGGGCATTGTGGGTAGTGGGCATTGTGGGTAGTGGGCACTGTGGGTAGTGGGCATTGTGGGTAGTGGCATTGTGGGTAGTGGAGCATTGTGGGTAGTGGGCATTGTGGTGTGAAGTGGGCATTGTGGGTAGTGGGCATTGTGGGTAGTGGGCATTGTGGGTAGTGGGCATTGTGGGTAGTGGGCACTGTGGGTAGTGGGCATTGTGGGTAGTGGGCATTGTGGGTAGTGGGCACTGTGGGTAGTGGGCATTGTGGGAAGGGGCATTGTGGGTAGTGGGCATTGTGGGAAGGGGCACTGTGGGTAGTGGGCATTGTGGGTAGTGGGCACTGTGGGTAGTGGGCATTGTGGGTAGTGGGCACTGTGGGTAGTGGGCATTGTGGGTAGTGGGCATTGTGGGAAGGGGGCATTGTGGGAAGGGGCATTGTGGGTAGTGGGCATTGTGGGTAGTGGGCATTGTGGGTAGTGGGCATTGTGGGTAGTGGGCATTGTGGGTAGTGGGCATTGTGGGTAGTGGGCATTGTGGGTAGTGGGCATTGTGGGTAGTGGGCATTGTGGGTAGTGGGCATTGTGGGTAGTGGGCACTGTGGGTAGTGGGCATTGTGGGTAGTGGGCATTGTGGGTAGTGGGCATTGTGGGTAGTGGGCATTGTGGGAAGTGGGCACTGTGGGTAGTGGGCATTGTGGGTAGTGGGCATTGTGGGTAGTGGGCACTGTGGGTAGTGAGCATTGTGGGTAGTGGGCATTGTGGGAAGTGGGCATTGTGGGTAGTGGGCATTGTGGGTAGTGGGCATTGTGGGTAGTGGGCATTGTGGGTAGTGGGCATTGTGGGTAGTGGGCATTGTGGGTAGTGGGCACTGTGGGTAGTGGGCACTGTGGGTAGTGGGCATTGTGGGAAGTGGGCACTGTGGGTAGTGGGCATTGTGGGTAGTGGGCACTGTGGGTAGTGAGCATTGTGGGTAGTGGGCATTGTGGGAAGTGGGCATTGTGGGTAGTGGGCATTGTGGGTAGTGGGCATTGTGGGTAGTGGGCATTGTGGGTAGTGGGCATTGTGGGAAGTGGGCATTGTGGGTAGTGGGCATTGTGGGTAGTGGGCATTGTGGGTAGTGGGCATTGTGGGAAGGGGCATTGTGGGTAGTGGGCATTGTGGGTAGTGGGCATTGTGGGTAGTGGGCACTGTGGGAAGTGGGCATTGTGGGTAGTGGGCATTGTGGGTAGTGGGCACTGTGGGTAGTGGGCATTGTGGGTAGTGGGCACTGTGGGTAGTGGGCATTGTGGGAAGTGGTGACTGGATTGGAGGTAAATGGGCGACAGAGATTGAGGGAAATAAAAAGGGAAATGTGACTGGGAAGCAAGGACTGTGGGAATTGGGGACTGTTGATTGGTGGAGACTATAGCCAGTGGTAGCTCTCGGCATTGGTGATTATGGGGCGGTAGTGACTTTCGGCAGTGATGCCTTTCAGATGTGGTGACTGCACATCGTCGGGAACTGAGGAGTAGGGACTGTATAGGAGGGGGTCGCATAATGGAAGAGGTTTTTGCTCGATGCACCCTGTCATGCAGTTGTAATTAAATGCAACAACATCCATTGAACAATGGGATGAGCATCTCTAGCAGATTCCTTTCACAATGGAAATGTCCCGACACTCACTTTAGGCTTTTCATGGTATAGAATGGAGCAGTGCCATTGTGATTGTTAGCTTTGGAATGATTAATCAATGTTACATATTTATTGTATATGTTTGTTATGGGATAACGTTACCCCTTTATCCACTAGAAGCTCTGGCATTGACCACAGTGTTACATTTAATAAGCTATTGGAGCAAATCCCGACCTTGAATTGCAATGATTAAAATAATTGGTAATGTAACATTAGGCTATGTAGCAAAGAAAACCTTGCATAAACAGAACAAACAAGACATGAAAAAAACAGACCGATTGATTCTTGAATCCAATAGCTACCCAGAGATTGTCAGAGTGGTGGTGTGTGGGGGGGGATGGGGGAGCGGATTAATCTTCACGCAACGGACTGCTGTTGTTACTGCTGCACTATATGTATTTACAAATCACCTTTCGCAGTCTCAATCAAGACGCGGGCTTCGGTTCAGCCACTGGTCATTGCAGCGTCATGGGGGATTAGTGGTGAGCAGCTGCCACCATCTCGTGCCCCCTTACCCGGTGCCCCCCCCGCCCCACCACAGCGGAGGTGTACGTGGGCATCGGCAAGCCGTCGGAGGCGCTGGCGTGCGCGCAGGAGGCGGCCGGCCTCTTCCCGATGTCGCACCACGTGCTCTTCCTCAAGGGCCAGGTGGCGGAGCTCCGCGGGAGCCTGGAGGAGGCCAAGCGCTGGTACGACGAGGCCCTGGCCATCAGCCCCACGCACGTGCGCACCATGCAGAAACTGGTGAGCCCCCTCGAGTTGCCGCGTCTTGCTGTCCGCGTGTGGTGTCCGGGTGACCCGCCGTCCGTCTGCTCGCGCGTGTGTGCGTGCGACGCTCCCGCGCCTGCCGACTCGCGAAATGTCACGTGAGGGGCGGTGACAAAATGGTCGGGTCGGTCCGCGCTGTCATCGCTTGTTTCCAGACGTTCGCAGTTTGAGTCCCGTTCGCCGCTCCGGCTTAAAACCGCGGCACGTATGTCAACAAAAAGCGACCATGTTCCACTTTCTTCGCAGTGGATATTAAAGAACCCCCGGGGTGTTATTTGAATATTAGTAGGTCTACGTGTCCTGACATCACCGGCCAAATTTGAAAGAAAAAAACTTGCAGATTTTACTTTATTGGCTAAAGCCTCGTAGCAACATTGCCCCTACTGTTGAAGACTCTTCATCCTATTATAATGGCATGAATACTAAATGTACATTATTATTATTATTTGGCACGGACGTCGCCGGTCTGGTCTCTACGATTTGCGTTGAAGAAGATCTGCAGTGAAATTTTTCCTGTTTTTGTTTTTTGCTGAACGAGCAACCTGCACGCCTGCCTGTTCGCCCCCCCCCCCCCCCCCCCCCCCCCCCCATTCTTCCTGCCCACTGGCACACCTGCCGTGCCTCTATTACAGCTCTCTGGAGAGCCCTTGCTAGAGGTATCTATTTGGTGTTTGAACATCTTAACACCTGTTTCATTGCCAGAAAGCGGACAGCCTATACTTGTTTTTTCATGATTTTGATACTGGAAAAAAAGGTCCCACAGATATGGAGAGGGCCAAATTTGGTCGGTACACGAACTTTGCTTAAACTCACCACGAACATTGCTGAAACTCACCACGAACTTTGCTGAAACTCACCACGAACATTGCTGAAACTCACCACGAACTTTGCTGAAACTCACCACGAACTTTGCTGAAACTCACCACATTGCTAAAACTCACAAACTCCTCAGACTGCAAGGAAGCCAGGAAAATGGGTTTTTGAATCTACCCGTGTGGACCTTGGAGTCTTGTCCCCCCCCCCCCCCCCCCATTGCACCTCCGATTATCAGGGTTGGCTACATACTGTGCAAAAGACGTCCAATGTCCATACATATCCCCTTTTGTGTGAGGTTTTCCCTGGGTACGGCCAGTTTCTTCTCACATCGGAAATGCTTCATCAAAGAAGAAATGGCCAAATATCGAAATGCACGATCCTGAAAAGGAGGATTTCACGGTTGAATAAAACCATCCTCATTGTTACCATCTATATACCTAACATACTGCCACGTGCCAATCTGCTGTCAAACCATCATCATCAGCTATATTATATCCGCTGTTGGAATTAGGCCGTTACCATCCCTCGTGGTAATGCGATGCCGCAAATCTCTCTTGTTCCCACATGTGGGCAGATCTATCTCTCGATTTTTTCTCTTAAGACTGTTCCCACTCGCGCACGAGTCTTGTTTATTGGCCATTAACCCATCTTGCAGTGTGTCCCGCCCAATCCTGCTCAATTTCCTTAACATTCACGACGATGTCTGATTTGAATTTGCTCTCGGAGCCTCCTTTTGTCTCGGCATAATTCCAAGCACACATCCTTTATGTTTCACCTACTAGACATCTGTGAAGAATATCTTTATAGCTCATCGGATTCCTCCAGTACAAATAAAGATTCTTCTGATTCTGATGCTTTCTGTACTTAGCATCTCCAATTACATTTTCTTTATTTTTGACCCGTTTGTCATCTTTGGTTACATCTTGTCTGGATTGTCTCTTTATCTCGCAATTTTGATCCTGGACAGATCCTGGTCAGCCTCCAATAATTTTCCTAGTTGTACGTATTATGCAGTATTTTCCAATTATATTTATTTCGGCTTTATGCTTAGCGAGAAATGTGTTCTTTCAATAATAAATATCCTCTAATACCCATCTGTCCGCCTACGTGTATGCACACTATTCCTCAGTTGTCTGTACGATGATTTAATCCATGTAAGCCGCTCTGCCTCTTGAGCCGAGTTGCCCATCCCTCTGTCCTCCCGAAACGCACACACCACCCAACCTGACTGCACATGAACGAGGCCGTCTCGCCTTCCCACCCAAACACCCTATTTCTTCCCCCGACTTACTATCGCCGGCCGCACGAAAGTTACATTCCACGGGTCTCCCTCGCCGCTTTGCTCACGCGTGCAGCTAGCGTACGAGCACATGCTCCGCTGTCCATCTGGAAGGTTTGCGCCTCCCGCATCGCGCCCCCCATCCCCAGCCACACTCCTCTCCATTTTTCCCCACCCCTCGCCAACCGGCCTCCCAGACACGTACACGATGGGCAGACCCATACGAGCAGTACCCCCCCCCCCCCCCCCGCATCTCGCCCTCCCGATACTTTTGCCCGTGTCTGCATCGCGTAGAACCTCATCAGCTGGCAGCCCGCATTCCCCACCTGCTTACCCCACTCTGCTTCTCCTGCCTCTGCCTGCCTTCCTCCCCCACTTCCACCGCACACGCGCGTGCACACACACACACGCGCCCGCGCGCCCGTTCCAAATGCATTTTTAAGATTAGACAGTAATTTTGCTCCTTCGTGCTCATTGGTGCGATTTTAATTCATGAGTATTAGTTTTATTTAGTAAAGAGCTTTGTGCCGACCGTAAATTATCTGTGCCGGTAGCGGATTCGTGCACCGCGCTCTTGGGATGAGATGGTTGCCCGTAACCACAAGATCGTCCCCACGCTGCCAGTTCCCAAATGCAGCGAAACTCCGTGACCGGAACCTGTCTTGGCAGCTGGGCACTGTCTTGATGGCTCGTGAGTTTCGGCCAAAAAGGACATTTAATTAACTTATGTTTGATAAGGTCGGGTTGGCAAAATTAATGCTGGAACCTAGTAGACATAAACAATTCACCCCCCTCACCGTACCCATACAGATTGGACACATTGTTATGATTTGGGCTCGTAATTCACTTTCTTGCTTTTTTTTTCGTTTTATTTTTACACCCTTGTCATTTGCATGTAATTTCGGTACATTGTAAATAACCGCGCGTCACGCGCAAGACTTGACGCGTGCAAGACTTGACGTGTGCAATGGGGAACGTAACAATCTATTCTAATCGATTAACCAACGTGTTGTTTGCATGCCTATTTGCAGATGGTTTTCTTTTTTCTTACAATCTATGTTAAATGAAAATTGAGAGAGAGAGAATTATATCGCTGTTAAAAACAACCCACGGTCAAGCTGTGGGACAAAGTAAAGGGAAGCCAGACTTGGCTGGATTCACGTCCCCAGCCTTTGTTGCTGCCCGTTTAAACCCTCCGCACACCATCGCTCCACGCAGCCATACCTCACCCGGCCCATGTGACATAAACGAGGGGTTCGAAAAGCGGATGGAATAATGTATGTATGTTGAACTTATTTCGCCACCGCACGAAGCCAACCGTGCTAATCAGAGGTGCGGGGGAAGGACAACAACCTGAACGCAAAAATCAGTTAAAAATAAATGAGTTTTCAATTTAGATTTAAAAGTTCATAGCTCCAGTGGCTTCCTAATATCGGAAGGAAGAGCGTTCCAGGGGCCTGCAGACGCGCATCTGAAAGCGCGCGATGCAGTGACCGTCTATATTTTATTGCTAGCCAAAAGCTGCTGCGAGGATGACCGGAGTTCGCTTGATGGTTTATGCTCCTTGACGAGATCAGAAAGGAATTGTGGCAAGCACTTTGTGTGTAATTAGTGCGAGTTTATAATCTATTCGTTTGGCAACCGGAAACAAAAATACATCTCGGCAAGCACTAGCTGGAGATGGTCGGGTGTTAATAAAATAAACAATAAACATAGCTAATGCCATCGTGTTAAACGGACGATTTGGTCACATCCTTACACCCCCCTCCACTGCCCAACTCGATCCCTTTGAAGTTGGCGCTGGTTTTCAATTTTGTAAACGAGCAACCGCAACGCCGGCCAGTCTCCACCAAGGCGGCCCCGGTGGTCAATTCGATGTCGCGGATTAAATAAATGCGCGTGCGTTTGAAGGTGTGTGTCTGTGTGTGCACCTCTCTTTGCTGTGACGACTCCCCCCCCCCCCAACACACGTGCCCATCTAATGTCTGTGTGTGTCAAAGTTGTCATAGGGGAGCGGTGGCATAGCGGTTAGCGTGCTGCACTACGAACGTGGAAACCCGAGTTTGATTCCCGCTCACAGGCAACACCAGTGACGATTATCTGAATCGGTCCTCCTCTAGGTCGACTCGGCCTCAAATGAGTAGCGGGTGTGGTGTGTAAACATCACCACTGGGGAGACAAACGCGGTCGGGCGTGGTGTTTGCCACCCACCCTGTCGCGTGTGCCGGCCTTCGTAGGTGCTCGCTAACAGCACTTGCCCCAACAGTCTGTTCAGGCTATATGGGGGATTTTTGTAATTTGTCATAGTTGCCATGGTGATGTGTTTATTAATAGCTTAAAACTTCTGCGAGCTTCATTTGAAATAGTTAATTCTACGATTTTTTTTATTGTTGCAGAACAACGTTTGTTTATTTTAGTGCCATCATTGCTTTTATATTCTCTTGGTCCTGTGTGCATCTTCATAAGTTGGACGTGCACTTGAACTCGACCAGGAGATGCCTTTTCTTCAAGGACCTGTCAGGAAACCAATGCATATCAACTAGTTACCCTTCCAGCATTCGACCAGCATATTTTGTTGTTGTTGATAATTAAGTCAATAGGCAGTTTATGCAATATTGAATTTTCATCCATTGCTATGGTTCATCTGCATTGCCTTGTGCCAACCCAATTCAGATTGCTTCGAGAATTTGGGCAGAATAAATCAGATATTCATTCTGAGTAATGCACTACGTGCCCACACATGCACTCACACTAACAAATACTGTATATCAAACATGGACAGGGGGGGAGCAAGTGACGCAGTGGTTAACGCAATCGCGCTATGAATGCGGCGACCGTGGTTGGATTCCCGGCTGCGGCTAACATCAGTTGCGAGCCATGT